TTGCATCTTCTGTGTAGGTAATATTATATTCAATCATCACATTTAAACAAGTAAACATACAAGGAATATTTAAATTATATGGTAACACATCAGAACAATACATCAGGGATTTTGTGGACAAATAATTTATACACAATAAATACTTGGTATTCTTTGAGTAGATAAAGACGCATTTGTGTTCTATTCTACCGTTTAATTGGTAACTTAACAATTTAACAAATTATCCAGTAAAGGCTTCATATGTTTGATTAGGTATTAACGGAAGATTCCACGCCCTGTTGGTAACTTAATAAACCAGATAAGATTGCTACAATTTGTTGTATCTGCTCTCCATCACAAAAACGTAAATAATTATAGTTGTCTGGATGTCTTTTAATTATATGTGTCGTTGGGTTGCTGTTCATTGACGGTTTACCCCACATCTCATATTCGTTTTTTATTTCTCTTTTAAGATTCCATTTTAACAGAGGTCAATGCATATTAGGTGACTGGTCAAACATGATATTGTATAGCAACATACTATTTCTCACAGAACGTAACGAAAATTTCTCGAGTAATATTCTATGATATAATAGCTTCTGATTATCGACGTCATCCGTGACAAACCGCCCCGGTGGTCTCGTGGTAGCGTGTTCGCCTCGAGTGCGGGAGGTCGTGGGTTCGAACCCCGGCCGGGTCAAACCAAAGACTTTAAAATTGGTATTTGCTGCTCAGTCTCCGCTAAGCACACGGCATTACGGAGTAAGAGCAAAGACTGGTCGGCTCGGAGTCTGAATAATGTGTCCGGGTTAGGTGACATGTCTTCCTGCGGACTGTTACCTTGTGAAATAGCACGTTAAAAATCCGACTCAGCGTGTCGGTCTAGTACAAAGCAGGATGAATATTCATACTACATTTTTAACATGATCTCGTCCTGAATATGCATATCAATTTGACGCTGGACGTTAACCAGTCATCCATCATGATGATGATGATGATGATGATCATCATCATCATCATCATCATCAGTGACAACAAATGATGTATGAAATATTTTTCAAGCCCTGCCATACAATAAAAGTGTTGTTGCAGGAATATTGGTGAAAGCTATCCCTTGCAGACTATTGGTGAAAACTATCCCTTGTAGAATATTGGTGAATACTATCCCTTGTAGAATATTGGTGAATACTATCCCTTGTAGAATATTGGTGAATACTATCCTTTGTAGAATATTGGTGAATACTATCCCTTGTAGAATATTGGTGAATACTATCCCTTGTAGAATATTGGTGAATACTATCACTTGTAGAATATTGGTGAAAACTATCCCTTGTAGAATATTGGTGAAAACTATCCCTTGTAGAATATTGGTGAATACTATCCCTTGTAGAATATTGGTGAAAACTATCCCTTGTAGAATATTGGTGAATACTATCCCTTGTAGAATATTCGTGAAAACTATTCCTTGTAAAATATTGCGCTCGCACTCGTTCAATAAAATCATCTACTCGGGATTTGAATATTCACCAATATTCATGTAATATTGTAATGCGAGCTCAAGCAGTCCTCGGCTTAGGCTCTGCTTCAATTCCTTTTGGGATTTTTTCCATTTATTTTATTCCTAAATGGTTATTTTTCTTTACTTTCTATTTTATATGAAGACATTTTTTTTATGTTTCATTGAATTTTTCAAATTTTCCATGAAAATATATCTGACTAACCATTGCAAGACCATCGCGTCTAATTTAGAGAGCAAAAGAAGAAAAGTTGGCTTACCGTTCAATCGTATTGACACCAGTCAAATTAGAATAGAAATTGACAGTTGCTTAAACACGGCGTCATCCCTACAATGGATACCGTTTTTATAAACGGTTAGATTTGAATAATAAAGAATCTGACTGAAAAGTTCATTGGGTCAAATCTTTTGAGACGAATGTTTATGCTCAGAAGAAAAATAATGTTTTATTTTTGAATGAACAAAAATTAAAATTTCATTTTGATTTACTTACACGCTAATAGATTTCGAGATGAAATATTTGCTCGTAGAATATTTCTATAGACTTAAATATTTCATAGTTAAATGTACTTGATTAATAAACACTCGTGTAGACATGAAGTGGACAAATTTAAAATATAATACATGTTTTAAATTGAAATGAAATAAAAGTACAAATTGATAATGGGTGTTATTTTCAAAGGGTCAAAATCATGTCCTGCATAACGGCTTATGACACGTGGTATTTTATGATATTTAGTGTTAAAACACAGGCTTGATATAGGCTTGGATATATGATTGATTGTTGTTATTTTACGTCCAGTGGCAATTATTTTATTCATATTCAGGGAGAGGCTTTTGAATACAGCTATTATATATTATACATTATTTTTTATGACGTACTATCCTCTATAAAAATGTGAAACGTTCTTTGGAACAACATCAAAATCCTCTTTTTTATTGGGAGCGTCGTGTAACGCTCAGTGGTACCAATACCGTGCGCAACGTAACTGCTAATAGACTGCGTTCACTTTTAACCTTTTCTACATAATTGTTGACAACATACTTTGAATTAATCTAATGTAACTTGTCTTTAATGCAACCCTTTCTTTATCCAGTAAAAAGCATAAGAAAGTAAATCCTTTCGTAATGAGGCAAATCGAATAAAAATTAGGATTGTCAGTAACTCTAATAATGACGTCGTCAAAGCAAAGAGCTTTTATTAACGAAACGATTTTTAAAACTAATACAGGAGGGTCTGGATGGGGTTTACAGAATAGAGAATAATAGGCAAATGTGTAGAATAAAGGGCTAAAAATTAAAGAATAGAGAAAAATAGGCAAAAAAATAAAGAATAGAGAATAATGGGGTGCTAAAATATAAAGAATAGAGAATAACAGGCAAAATTTATAAAGAATTGAGAAAAATGGCCTAAAAAATTAAAGAATACAGAAATGAAGGACCCCCCATCCACACCCTCATGTAGAGCTTAAATAATTAACTGGAAAGTCTTTTGTGGACACACTTTTGAGACGTATGTTTATTTCTTCTTTTTTTTAAGTAAAAATAACATTTTATTACGATTAACTTATCCGTGAATAGATTTTTACATGAAATATTTTCTTGATAGCATATGTCATTTACACTTAAGTTTGATTGTTTGATAAACACTCGTGTGTAGACATGAAGTGGACGAACTAAAACACATTACATTAAGTTAAATCTATTTAAAATAAAGTAAACACTGACAATGGATGTCTTGCATACCTTTTAAATGACCAAATGGGCACATTCAGACGGACATGGCGGTGCTTCCCCTGCCTAAAGTTGGAAAATTATCATTTTTGACAAAAAATGTCTGAAACTTTCTGCATTGATTTACTCTGTAAAATTATTAGGGTCAAGCTATCTAACCTCAAATCCTGCAGTACCTTCTCTTGAAAGGAACCCTGTTTGTGTGCAGTACCATGTGATCTGACGAAGTATTACCATACATAAGATAATTATCTGACGTAGTATTACCATGAGATATTTATCTGACCTAGTAAAAACATGAGATATTTATCCAACGTAGTAATTAATACATTGATATATATGACGTACTATTACCATAAGATAATTATCTAACGTAGTATTACAATGAGCTATTTATAATCACTACCGTCAAATATCAATCAAAACTAGTAGTAACACGAGATATTTATCGGACATAGTATTACCATAAGATATTTATCTGACGTAATATCCCATGATATATCAATCTGACGTAGAAGTAAAATGAGACATTTATCTGACGTCGTAGAATTATCATGAGACATCAATCTGACGTAGTACTACCATGAAATATCAATTCGACGTAGTTGTAACATGATATATTTAACTGACGTAGTATTACCTTGGGCGTTTTATCTGACGCAGTATTACTATAATATATCAGACGAAGTAGAACCATGAAATATTTATCTGACGTAGCGTAACAATGAGATTTTATCTGACGTTGTATAACCATGAGATGTTTATCTGACGTAGTATTACCATTAGATATTTATCTGACGTAGTATTGCCATGAGATATTTATCTGACTATAAGTAGAAACATGAGATATTTATCCAACGTAGTAATACATTGAGATATATGACGTACTATTACCATAAGATAATTATCTGACGTAGCATTACCATGATCTATTTATAATTATTACCATCAAATATAAATCTAAACTAGCAGTAACATGATATATTTATCGGACGTAATATAACATTGAGATATTAATCTGACGTTGTTGTAACATGAGATATTTAACTAACATAATATTACCATGATATATTTATCTGACGTACTATTACCATATTATATTTATCTGACCTAGTATTACATGCGAAATCTATTTGACGTAGTAATACCATGAAGTATCTGATGTGGTCTTACGATAAGATATTTATCTGACGTTGAGTTACCATAAAATATTTTTCTGACGTAATATCTCATGATATACCAATCTGACGTAAAAGTAGAATTAAGAAATAATTCATGGAAGCTATAGATTTGTTGGAAATTTACACATGGCCTGGGCCGTGATATTCGAATGTTATCCTGAGCGTTAACGCGGGACAAAATTAACGAATATCACGGCCCAGGCCATGTGTAAATTTACAACAAATCCATTGCTTCCATGAATTATTTCAATTCTAATAGGACACAATACGGTCATTAAAAAAACTGGAGCGAGGGTGGGTATGCCTTGTGTGTGGCTGTTCTATTTTACTCCCTGTTAGATAAAGCTAAAAATTACCAATAAATCTATAGCTTGCATGAATTATTTCTTAAATAACCGCTTAAAAAATGTGTTTAATTCTTTTAATTCTCAACCCCAACATTTGCCATTTTTAATTTAATTTTTTTTCTCGTAAGCTACCGTCAAATCCACAGTTGTCACAATTTGTAACTAAGGATGCACCATGTTGACTTGCTGAAATCAGTAAATGTGCGAATTATACAATAGAATAGAAAATAAAACAACACCTACCTCAAAACTCCATTTAATGCAATATTGTCCGAATTTGGAGGGTTCACGCAACGGATAAACCTTCTGCTTTTGAGTTTTCATTCATATGACGTCATGTTTTGAAATGACTGAAATGCACCAAAAGCATTAATGGAATTTCGCGGAATTTTATTTTATTTTAATTTTGTACATTTTTTCGAGCTCTAATGCATTTAAGAGATAACTGTATTGTATGAAGCTTTGCGGACGTCGGTAGTTTTACTGTCGCAAATTTAGTTTACCTGGCGACGCGTAGCGGAGACAGGTAAACGGGTATTTGCAACAGTAAAACTACCGATGGACGTCAGCAAATCTTCAAATACAATACAGCTATCTCTATTCTAATGCAAAAACAAGTACATAATTCAATTTCAATCATTAGTATAGTGTAAAATTTTCATTTCCTTAGTTACAGACAAGGAGATAGAGCATTTTACGCTTACTGTCATACTATCAGAACCATTGATACAAAATAATTGCATTAGAATAATTCTTTTTGTTAAGTATCAGAATAAGAATAAAGATTTTGTAGTTGTTTTTTTTTCAATTGCAATTTTTAGTACAGCCATTATTATGTACATCTCCGAGTATGCGCTAAGTATATATCTAGAATTTTATCACGGTGTTGTTTACAAAGCGAAAGAAGCATGTCATATTGAAATGACATATTTATCTGAAATAGTATTATCATGAGATATCAATCTGATGTAGTATTACCATAAAATATTAATTCGACATAGTTGTAACATGAGATATTTTACTGGCGTAATATTACCATGAGCTTTTTATCTGACGCAGTATTACTATAAGATATATGACGTTGTATTGCCATGAGATGTTTATCTGACGTAGTATTACCATGAGATGTTTATCTGACGTAGTATTATCATGAAATATTTATCTGACGTAGTATTACCATGAGATATTTATCTGGAGTAGTAGTAACATGAGATATTTATCTGATGTAGTATTATTTATCTGATGTAGTATTACCATGAGATATTTATCTTACGTAGTATTACCATGAGATGTTTATTTGACGTGGTATTATCATGATATGTTTATCTGACGTAGTATTATCATGAGATATTTATCTGGCGTAGTATTATCATGAGGTGTTTATCTGACGTAGTATTATCATGAGTTATTTATCTGTCGTAGTACTTCCATGATATATTTATCAAGTAGTATTACTAATTCAATATTTTATAAATTTGGTGCATCCTTAGCGCTATTCTTGATTTTCCTTTATTCGGAACTAGAAAAACCGAAAATGAGAAGTTACGATTTTGGTCAAATCAAATGTTCGAATCTAGGTAATTAAATTTAACATTGCAGTTTTTGTTCACAAATAATCTTATATTGATTATAGTCATAAAACGACAGATAATTCAGGTAAAATTGCAAAAAATACGCTAAAAAGGATATTCATACAGTAATTTCATATATTAAGAGCCAAGTAAAATAATTCATGTTGATTTAGCCAATATTCATAAAACAAACATACTCTTTGCCTAGAATACAAAGAATATCAAAATTCTTCCATATGGTGTCGCTTACATGACCTCACAGTCAAATTTTGTCACAAGATTTGCCTTATACTCATTTTTTTTTCTGTAAATCTTTCCTCTGACGCTTTATATACCGTTACGTATGGACTATCAGTCCCCGATGGTATAACCAGCTCAGTAGCCAGTTCTTCGGTACTGGCAGGATTTATAAGAAAGTTTTCTTAAATTGTCTGTTTGTAAAATTTAGAAATTATTAAGGAACTAAGGTTTTAACTCCCTCATACAAAGTTGACCTTAGATGGATTTGGCTATTATTTTTAGGTCCTTTTTGGTCATATAGCTCAATAATGGTGTCATGCAAGTTATAATTTTCTGTAATTTTAGAATTTAAAAGTAATTGTACAGGGCCAAAGAAGACCAAAATTAACCTTTCGTGTTTCGGTAATTAAAAATCATTGGTTTTCAAATATTTGGCTTCCACCGTTCCTGGTAAAATTAAATCCAGAAAAGCACTTCGGACGCATAAACTTCGACAGGGTGTTATTTTCATTTTGTTGCCATGATAATGTCTAAATTAAGATCGTTGAATTTAAGAATTGTATGTTATAAATCATGTCGATATCGACACACTGATTACCAATCTGGTGGTCCCCCATGAACCAACAGTCCACCAGCAGCAAGATCGACCCGGTGCTAGAATATAAGTTAATACCATAGATTTGGTGCGTCCAAAGCCCTTTTCTTGATTTACATTCATAAGGAACGCGTCAACCCATAATTTCGAAAGCCAAGGATGTATAAATACCTGAACCCGTTAGGAGCTATAAAACCAAAACAGATCTAAGTAGCCAAATTCGTCTGAAATCGAATTCTTTATCAAGTTATTAGGTGATGACAGGCATATTTTTAGAGTCACATATACACTGATGTATATATATATATAACTAGGTATACGCCATTTATTTAAACTTCGCTTAAAAAGTCATTTAACATTTTATGTTTTTCATATCCGTCCTAGATACAATGAAATTTATTCATACTTTGTAAATTATAATGAAATTAGTAAACTTTACAAATAAGAAAATAAAATCAACTATAAAGTTTAATTCTGCAGGATCATTAGAGATAATACATTATAGTACATTAAATTACTTCGTTTGAAGGAAAATGTTACCGGAATGCAATCTTTCTCCTATTTGGTTATTGTAATTCCTTTCGACTTTTATTAAGGCTTGTTTTGAATTTCATTTTTGTATATTGATTTCTAATAGAGTGGTACGAATTCTAATGTTCCTGATTATGAGAAATCCAAGATCTACATTCAAAAATCATTAGCCTTTTGATGATAACAAGTATGTCTATTTTTTCAGATCTTATTTGTTTTTATTATATTCCATGATAGTAGTCATTTACCCTGTGACGTACCACGTCTCGCTCCGTTTGGCGACCCCTTTTAGTTCTTTATTCGTCTTGGTTTGTACATTCAAAATGAATTAACGAGTTTTGAATATCGGTAAACTACTATGTTAAAATATACATTAAAATAAAATAAAAAATTATCGTTATTAAATACCTATGACACTAACATTACTTTATAATAATTAAAAGTTTATGAGCTGACAGAACATGCTTAGTCTTGTGCAATAATATTTAAATTCACAACTTATTTGACACCCACAGAGTAAGAAACACAATATTTATGACGGATCTTATCTGACAATAAGTAGGGTTTTTTTATGAACACGTCATACAGTTTATCAAATAACATCATCAGTATTTATTGATAGTCTATAGTATATTCCAAAATACTGTATTTATTGATAGTCTATAGTGTATTCCAAAATACTGTATCACAATGGACTATACAAGATCAAAGTTTTATCATAATAGATATAAGAAGACGTGGTATGAGTGCCAATGAGACAACTCTCTATCCAAGTCACAATTTGTAAAAGTAAACCATTATAGGCCAAAGTATGGCTTTCAACACGGAGCTTGGCTCACACCGAACAGCAAGCTATAAAGGGCCCCCAAAAAATGACTAGTGTAAAACCATTCAAACAGGATAACCAACGGTTTAATCTATATAAAAAACGAGAAACGAGAAACACTTATGAACCACATCAACAAACGACAACCACTGAACATCAGGTTCCTGACGTAGGACAGGTGCAAACAAATGCAGCGGGTTTAAACGTTTAAATAGGCGCCAACTTTCATCCTACCTGAAACAATAGTGTAACATCACAACATAGAAAGACACACTATAAAATATCAATTGAAATGGCTTAACTCAATCAAAAGACATATTAACAAAAACAAGTGAACATACACTGAACGAATAAATTTGATCTATGACACAATGTAAATACAAAATTAATAAAACAAGGGGGTTAGATTAAAACAGTACCAGAAAGACAACCATAAGGCCACACCAATTTGATTTTTAGTTCTTCGGACAAAAGCTCCAAAAAATATGGGGCGAGCGAGCGAAATTTTTTTGATTGTATTTATTTCTTGAAAATGAGTTTTGTTGAGGCGGGTGCTCTACAAGTGGAGCGAGCGGCATATCATTTTTTTTTAAATTGTGCGATTTAGAATTTTATGTACATGTAAAACTGGTTACTTCAAAGAAAAAGGAAGATAAACATGCTCTTATGTATATAATTTGATGTATTTGTGCCTGTAGTACAGTCTGTACCATACACAACTTTCTGGTTCGCTTTGGTTTAGTATACCTTTGATTATTTTCGTCAAATAAGCTTTGACTGTGTGAATTTTCATTAAAAATTAAATTCATACATGCGTATATATTAAGGAAGCATAGCAGATGCAGTTTAGCAAGAGGAATTATGTTAGTGAGGTAAATTTAAATGAAATGTGTTGAATACAATTAAAATATGTGTATGTATTCAAAAAATTGCCCTAGAAAAATATTAATTATCTTTTGATATAGTTGTTTTTATTATATGGTAATGATTGTTTATTGGCTGCTTGACATCCAGTTGGAACTATTTATCCATAATAGGATCAACATAATGAGTAAGGTGAATAGTTCAACAACATCCTCAGTAAGATGGTTATAGGAAAAAGTATTTTGCTAAGTCAGAATAATGCATGTGAATGTGGTTTATAACGGTATTTTAAGGGAATGTTTTAATAAATTGAGATCTACATGCATAGCAATATAACCATCTTACTGAGGATGTTGTTGACATTCACATGCATTATTCTGACTTAGCAAAATACTTTTTCCTTTTGCCCCTGAAACCTGCAATATATTTCAAACTGTAAGTGGTTGCACCAATAACACATCCCTAATTATTATTAGCATGCCAATCCCAATACCACCACTTTGGTCTCGAACGTTGGAACTCTTAGATTTTCCCTTACAAAAGAGTTCTGATTGCATGTCAATAGACTAATAAGGGGATATGAGGTTTTCATCAAAATAAGATTAATCTGTCATTTTTTAAAAACTCATGTTAATTTAATATTAATTTCATCCAAGACAGATATTTCTTTCTATGTCAGTTGTAGTCCGCGATTACTCTGACGTCCAATGGCTGTTTTGAAGG